ACGCACTTGTTTTCAGGCGAATGCCGGGGCAATGCATGATTCAGGAAGTTTTGATGACACAAAAAATGTTTTATTTATTTGGACTCAAGCTCAAAAAGTTGCTTTGTTTGGAGAAAGTGCATTTTTACGTGTAAGCACCCATTGTTTTTGACAGAAATAGACCACGCATCTCTCTGATACTGACACTTATAATATAATATAGTCTATGGGTATGGATTTAATTGAAATTCCTTATTTTTACTTTTAAACTTCTCACAACCTTGAAATGATTATAACTGAATTATCTTGACATTGTGCGCCTAATGAATAAATATTTTCTCTTAAAATGCATACTTTTTTTGGTCTATTTAGGTATTTATTTTCTGCGTATTCATTGAAAGTCTCTCGACGGTGGCAGGGCTGACAGAAAGGGACATTCATTACAGGTTAATTAGAATCAGGGGTTTTGATGTTGACAAAGAATAGATAAGACAGTGTTTTCTTAAAAGTCATTTACTGCCAAAACAAATGTAGACGGTAAACAACATCCTTTAGACATTTGCATTTATCTTGACAGGAAAAACAAACAGAAAAAAAGAGGACGTGTTCACAATCTTCAGTAGAAAGAGATAAACCAGTGTATAATGTGTGCATATTTTGATCTTTTATAATGCATAAAGGTGCATTGTGTAACTTTTGCTGTGGAGGGTCCATTACCTCTTCGTCTCCATGGAGATGTTATTGCTTTGTCGAGAATGCTTCATTGCGTTAAAATTGCTACATCCCTAATAAATCTACATACAAAAATGGAAAGCACAATAACAGAGTGGTCTGCTTTGCTCTCACAGGGGTTCATCTGCTTTAGAGATAGGCCGATATTGGCACGTTTTGAGGTACCGGCTTTCAGCTGTGAATCTTAAGCACAGCCCGATTTTGTGTTTTGGCCGACCTGCTGCCTAACGAATACAGCTAATGCTTTATTTCAACACATTAATGCAAAGAGGAGACTGCACGAAACAAGACTACATGGCTATCTTATAGGCTTGTGTTAAAAATGTTTTAAAAAGGGCTGTGAGTGAGTTTGTAGTGAATTTAAATGACATAATTTGAGGAAAAGGATCAAAATCAGCCTTACTGGTTTCTGGAGTCGAAACAATTGTATTGTCATCTACATGTCCTTTTTGTGTTCCTTATCTTACTGATATGCCTAAAAAATGTCAAATTCAAATGTGAGGTCCACTGCATACAGATATATTAATAACGTGGTTTATATTTTACAGTATATTCACATAGAGAATTTAAAGGGCCTATATCACACTATTTTCACTTTTAATTTATAATATTTTTTATGTTATAATGTTGTTTCCTCATCAAAAACATATTAAACTTAAAGGTAAAAGTTAAGAGTTAACTTGTAAACCACCATTGCATGACATCACAAGGTGGAGCTGAGCATTTTGAGCTTTGGAAATGTAGGCTAATAAACCATGATTACTTCCAAAGATGTGTGGATGAAACAAAACACAGCTCCAGGGATGTTTTTTGAAGAGGAAATAGCACAATAACATGGCTTAAAGTTCAGAAGAGGCAATTATGTGTAATATAGGACTAATTAAAGCAGTTCTTCCATAATACAGGGGCTTTAAAAAAACACATTTCAGCAGCTACATGCATTAGATGTCGCTGCTTAAGCTATTAGACCTAGTAGAAGTACCCAGTGTCCTTAAGCAGAGTCTGGCAGCTCCTCGTCTGCTGTGACTTGACTCTGTGTGAGTTTTATTGAGCTCTCAAAGCATGACCCAGAGCCGTCAGGAAGATGTACGACTTGACTTTTCTTATTTCCTCCAGACTTGTCTTTTTCAGGGCATCGAGACACACACTGTTAATGGGGATGTGGAGTAGAGTCTCACTCTCAAAGTTGTACATTTCTAAGACTTACTTAACATGGCCAAATGCGATCTCATCTGAAGTATGCTTGCACCATAGACTAGGATGTGACTATGGGTGTATGACCATTTGGCTCATGAACGCCAATTGTATTTACATTGAAAAATTGTGGCCCCTCGCTCTGTAACTGCTGCTGTGAGCTTTGCCGTTTTGATTTTAAACTGTTAGTATTAACCCACTCTACATGATCCTGGAGTATTTATTTTTCTATTTTGGTCATAAATAAATTTCTTCATTTGACTGAACACTATGGGTGATGTCACACTCCCTTAGTCTACTTCTTTATATAGTTTGTGGCTTCCACCCTAACTTTGTTTCTCCTATACCTAAGCTTTACTTTAGCTTGATTTCCAGAGGTGGGTAGCCAAAAAACATACAGGGCTTGTCATGATAATTACTATCGACTTATCGTTCAAAAGCTGCAACAATATTTTTAGGGTCAATAGATATCACATGTGCATAGGGGTGTGCAAAAATATTGAAATATTGATATATCGTGTCATTTAATGTGATGATACAGTGATACTGCTTTATCTTTATCACCAAGAGTATTTTTTTGGTATATTTTACAAAATAATTTTGTTATAGTGATACAGTTTTGTTGCTTTTTCAGTGGAAGGAAACTTGTTTATGCGACACATTTGACATTTTCACTATTTTGAGGATTAAAACGTGTGTGTTTCGTATGAACTTTGCTGAAGAAGCGGTTTAACAAAGACTTTTAGTATCACAGCCATGATTTAACCTTTATTTTTTACTGAACTGTATTGAATCACTTTGAAATATATCGTACTGAATTGAAAGTGCACTGTATCAAGATATGTATCGTATCGGCAACTTCTTAATGATACCCAGCCCTACATGTGCATTTTCTTTGTGCTTTTTTTTTTTTTTTAGTAGCAGTAGTAGTAATAGTAGTAGTAGTAGTAGTAGTAGTAGTAGTAGTAGTAGTAGTAGTAGTAGTAGTAGTAGTAGTAGTAGTACCACCTTAAGATTAGAGCAATTTAGGGTCAAAAAAGTAACTTGTATGACTCATTATAGATACAAACTAAGTGTCTATCTTATATTCAGATTGGATCAGATTGGATTTTTCTCATCCTCGACTTTCTTTCATCTTGTCTATAAAGTTATTGCAGCATGTTATTTTAATTATCACTCACTTTTTGATCACCTACCCTCTGGCCTGTCTTGGTGCAGTTCTTTGTACTTCCCATCTCGTTCCATTAAAATATCAGTTCAGCGTACGTGTGTGGGTCTGGTGGTGTGTTCCTTTCGCTGTGTATAGTGACACAAACTCCTCATTCATCTTGTAGCGCTTGGCTGGAAATGACATGTCGACATCAAAACATAGCTTGACAATATGCCCAGATGGACATTCACAAGATATTGGATTTTAAGAGCGAGTCTAATTAAATGCTGTTGCTGCTTGTACCTTAAATGGAATAATAATTGAGGTGATGCAAAGAGGCAGTAGCAGATGTAAGTGTTAATTTTTACACGTGCATAAAATGTGCTGAAATTGTGATGGACATTTTTAAAAGAATTAAGGGCATTTGTGATTGTTGATTCTACTCATTTTTGCAAGCCCAACCTGCAACATAGTGTCATAAACAAGACAATCTAATACATGCATCCACAAAATACTAATACATACGTGGACTTATATTTAAGCAAGTATAGAAAAATAAATAACAAAGCCTATATTATATGTTGCTTTTATGCTGTTGGACCTTTTACTTCCCACATAAGGACGGATTTGGGCTGAGTCTGTGTTGGCAAACAGGAATTCGCCCATTGTGCACATTGTTTTCTGATTTCAATTAAACCCTAAGCTCGCCATGTTTGTACTATAAAGTATGCCCCCACTGCTCATAAAGCTCTCACATGCTCTGAAGGCTATTGGCAGAAACAGTGGAAACAGCCAATCTTCAGCTCAGTATAGGTACAACTGATGTAATTGCCATTGTTTATTATGTAAAACTTCCACCTCTGGCCTCTCTCTCAACACTTTTTAGTTCAGCAGACAAAAACCTTTCTGCTTTTACTTGTTGTAGGCTACTACACCCTGGGTTAGGAGTGTGCAAAAATATCAAAATATCAATATATTGTATCGTTAAATATGATGATACAGTATCAGTATTGTGGGCTGCTGTATCGATGTATTGCCAAGAATGTTTTTTGGTGTATTTTGCAAAATTATTTTGTTACAGCTACAGTTTTGTTGCTTGTTCAGAGGAAGAAAATTCGTTTATGTGGCATATTTGACATCTTCACTGCTTCTGGGATTAAAATGGTCTTTTTTTATATAAAGTTTGAGCAAGAAGTGGTTTAACAAAGATTTTAGTATCACAGCCAAGATTTAGCCTTTTTTTTTTTAACCATATTGAATAATTTTGAAATATATCCAATTGAATCAAAAGTGCACTGTATCGAAATATGTATCGTATCATGGCCTATATATCGAGGTATGTATCGTATCGGCAACTTCTTAATGATACCCAGCCCTACCCTGGGTACACTTAATATAGTAAAGTAGGTAAAGCTCCCACTAGAGCAACACATACTAAGACGCTATACAATTTCATGCATTAATCATTCAATCCATACTCAAGATTGTAGCCACAGCTGCCCTGAGACAGACTGATGGAGGTGTGGTTCAAAATATGCACCATCCGCCCATCTAATCACCACAAGTCACTCACACACCACATTCATGTATAGGTGTTTTGAGAGCACCGCAGTATGCACTAAACAGTACATGACAGTAAGCACTTAACCACTATGACACCTGGTATTCCCACAGACTTTAGATTGCAGTATTACGTAAACCCAATCCTACAGCTTCCAAGAACAGACCAAATATGGCATTCCAAGGTGCTATCCCTGTTATTTGTCCAATTTAAGTTGCACACAAGTTTAAACTGTGGTTCTAAATGGTCCATGTACATGCCACCAACGTGTAAACTGTGATATGCCAGGACTGTAAGAGAATCCTAAACTGTTCCAATATAGCAGGATTAGGAACTACAGCAATGTACATAAGATTAGTTTTTAATGTTTCTTTTCTCTTTCAGGTATTGGCTTTAGAGAGGCAGGTGTTTGACTTCCTCGGATACCAGTGGGCTCCCATCCTCGCTAACTTTTTTCACATCATTATAGTTATCCTTGGCCTCTTTGGCACCATCCAGTACCGGCCACGCTACATTGTGGTGGTGAGTATATTCAACATTTTATTTATTTATTTTTCAAATTTAAAAAAAATTTACATAACGAAAACAAAAAAAATTACAACACCACAGTCATCACACACAAGACTATTCAGCAGTTTCTTCAGCAGTCTTCATACAAGCAGTCTTAACATCAGAACGCAGCAGACTTGAAGATATCGAGATGATTTTCTGAGTTATATTTAAAGTTGAACAGACATTGAATTCTTTGGAAATAGTGTCACTGAGGTTAGATGGTTTAGACGTGAAGAAGAATATAGTGATAGAAAAAGGTTGAGGTTAGAGATGCCTGGCAGGGATGAAGTATAAAATGAAAAGTTTTGGGGTTTGACAGGATAACGATGTGGACGTGAGTCAGGTAATTTGCTTTAAAGAAAGTATGTTACTATGCATCTCGTCTCACAGTCTCACCACTCTTGTGTCCTATCTGTATGACACCTTTAAATCACTTGAATCCTGGGCTAATTAGGCCTCATTAAAGGGAGAAGGGCTGTTAGAGGGCTCAGGAACTCATCAGCTTCAGGCTTGATTTTGTACTGAGAAGGTCATTGTCTGCTATGCTACACACAGTATCGAAGTGAGCTTTCTTTTTCACTTGTGTGTTTAAAGTAACTGTTCCCACTGCAAAATACGCTTTACAAACACAAGTACTGATTTGACTCACACACAGATGTAGTTGTTATAGTTGCAGTTTCAATGACAGGGGTTATAGAAGCAAAAAACAGTAGCAGCGGATGACTTTGTTTACATGCACAACAAATCTGGCCATTGTCTGATTTCTGGAGTTAATGGGATTATTGAAATGTCATGTAAATGTTAAACTTAGACAAACTTTATTAATTCACAAGGGAAATTATTTGGACAAAGCAGCTCAAACATCACAATATACTACAATACACTCTAAATAAGTAGCAAATACAGCAAGAGACTGGTGTCAAATAAGATCTACTTATATAAATGTATATGTACAAGTAAAAATAAAATATAGAAATATAGTAATAGAAATATATCTCAGCTCACAAGAGGTCGTAAAGAGAAACAGTGCAAAAATTATATAATGATTGACAGGACATATGGTTATCTGTTACATTATGGTGAGTTGTTCTACATTTGAAAGTAATCTAATTTCTTTCTGATTCTTCACACTTGTGCAGATTTTAACTAAGATAATTATGAAAGAAACAGCACTGGGAATGGCAATTGTTGATCTGACTTTTACTGACTACCACTGAGTAATTATTATATTATAAGATTTCGTGATGGTGCAGATTTATGAAGCTGGTGGAAAATACGCAAGACATTTCCACAGATATTTTGCCACAGAAAAGCATTAACCGGAAGTGACATTTATCCTACATCACGACACTTCTGACCATTGTGAAAAATGTTTGTAGTAATCTGTCATGGCTGATTTCCATTTCGACTGCATTATCCGTTATCTGTTGCTCACTATGCATTCACATTTGCATCATACTATTCCCCAGTGCAGCAACAGAGGTGCAGGTGATGACGGTAATGACAGGAAAATACATAGTAAGCTTGAGTGAAAAACATGAGAAATGCAGATGTGTTAGCGGTGTGAGTAACAATATTGTTTCTTTATGTGAGGAAAAGTCCTGATCCAACACGCCTGTCTGCTATGGAGGAGCTCTATATCTTTCCCCTGGACACAGCTGACATTTGAACACACACTTTAGCGAGATGACTCAGAGTATTTCACAACCAAAATACTGACGAAGGTTCCTCTCTCCCCCTCTGTTCCTCCATGTATCTGTCAGCACTGTTACTGTACAAACTTCACAACAGGGGTCATAAACTTTTACACTTGTGGCTGCTTTGGGGAATGGGACTTAGTTTTCTGTCAAAACAACTGTCCACTTTACAATAGAAAAAAATACTCGGCGGTCTGTCACTGGCGTTAGTGAGCATTTTTTTCATGCTTTCTCAGTAAAACATACATGATTTTGTATATCTTTAAAAGTAGATTTTCACATTTTACTCACTCACTTTGAGAGCAGGTCTTGGTACTTTCTACTCTGAAACTGGGGTTTTATTTTTGACACGTTCATTATTTGAGCAAACAAAAATATAACAACAAAAATAACAACAAATATACACAACAAAACAGCTAGGAAGAACATTGATTTAGTTGCTTCTATTGAACAATAGGGCTGGGTATCATTAAGAAGTTGCCAATACGATATATACTTCGATACATAGTCCAAAATACGATACATATCTCGATACAGTGCTCTTTCGGTTCGATACGATATATTTTGATCATTCGAATCGATTTGATTTAGTTCAGTAAAAAATAATGGCTAAATCATGGCTGTGACAGTAAAAGTCTTTGTTAAACCACTTCTTGTGCAAAGTTAATATGGAAAACACAAACATTTTAATCCTCAGAACAATGAATATGTCAAATGTGTTGCATAAATGAGTTTCCTTCCTCTAAACAAACAACACAACTGTAGCACTGTAACAAAATTATTTTGTAAAATATCCCAAAAAAACTACTCTTGGCGTTATATCGATACATCACTCCCCGATATCAATACTGTACCATTATATTAAATAATACAATATATCGATATTTCAATATTTTTGCACACTCCCACTGAACAAAATTCTGCACAAATCTGTATCAAAATCACTACACTTGAAGCTTTATTAGATCTCAAAATCTGCACAAAATACTTTTACTTTTTACTCTTTAAGTACATTTTTAAACATGTATGTTCATATTTTTATCTAAGCAGATTTTTTTCATGTGATTCTTTTACTTGAGTATTTTTTCTCCATTATCTGCACTAGTAAGTAAGTAACAATATTGAGTATCACCACAGCTAACATGTCTCTCTTTCTTTCAGTACACAGTATGGGCTGCTCTCTGGGTGGCCTGGAATGTTTTCATCATTTGCTTTTACCTGGATGTCGGAGGATTGTCCAAGGTGAGACTATCAAACACTGTTCACTAGTATAAAAACTGTTGGTTGCCCCTGTGTACCTCTTCTAGTAATCTTTCATGTGTGCAGTCTGTGTATGTACAAGGCTGCAGGTTGGTGAAGAAGTCAAACAGGAGTTTTAAAACATATTATAAGTTTGCCTTTTTGTTGATAGTTTGATAGTTTGACAGTTGGAAGTGATGCTGATAGATAGGACTTTTATGGAGTCAAACCTGATATTTCCTCCCCTGTCAAAAGGACAATTTAATACTGAAGAACAGAAAATGAGACTTGAATAGAAGAACATTGAGTTTCTTTCACATTCAAATTTGGTATTGTTATCTGCCCGCCATTTGCATCCATTTTCACTGAAATGGTTTTGTTAATTGTTCCGTTTTTGTTGAATGTGTTAAATAATCAAAGGTCAGATTAGATTTCACTGGCATACAATTAATACAATGACATTAGACTCTTGTGATCATCTGCAGGGCCTTTATTTTTGCTGGTAGCATTTAAATAATACAACATTATCACACTCCACCATATAGACATGTAAAATGTATTCAGTTGTAATTTAAGTCCCTCTTAGTTAAAAGGTATTTAACGGTATTTAACTTTCTATTTCCATGGAATCATGCATATGGCCTTCAAGTTAAAACCATACTTTGGAACAACAGGTAGATTTATTGTGAAAGATTATAGCCAAAAAACAACATTTCCGTGGAAACAAGCAAGTGTAAGGCCCAGCTCTGTTGTCAAATTAGCTGAACATGAATAAGCGTAAGAAAAACGAATACCTCTCCCTAGCATTCTCTTATAGGACTTTAGCTTTTCCTGCAGATTTATAAGTTTACGTTTACCCTGTATGTATTCCCTTGACCCCTATAGTATATTTTTGCAATAACTGCATGTAATATTGTTGCCACTAGTTGGTTTTTTCAACATATCTCACATCCTGAATGCTTCTCCTGTGAAAAAAGTGGAAGTAAACACGATTACCTTTAGTGTATCATTTCTGTCTCACGCGGCTGTAAAATAGGTTTCATGAATATTTCAGACTCCATAAATTACTGTATTGTGCTCCTTCACCACAATCACCCCTCATCACCACCAAGGTACAATCTACCCTCAAGTAAAATGAACCTTTGCACTGAATTGGATTAAGCACTTATATATAATTATGAAGTTAAAATGAGGGAGAGTTGTATTTTTTGTCCTTGCACCCGATGAAGCCTGTGAAGTGTAAAAAGCCAAGCCAAACTTTAATTGCCAAGATGCAATAAAGGTGTTTCAACTTTTTTAAACAGATGGAGTGCCATAGGTTTTGTTGGCTGATTTTATTTATGCATTTTTAAGATTTTACCTTAGTTAAAAAGAATCCCTCTCCAAAGAGCACCTGCCTACAATTACAGGTACCTATGCAGCACGTCTCATCCTATTCTGCAAGTATTTTTATCTATTTAATGTGCAGTTTTATCTATTTAATGTGCAGTTTTCAAATAGTTAGAAGTTTGCTTTAAACTTGCTGCATTTCCTTTGGATAAATTTCATAAATGTTGAATTTTAGCATAGATAAATTATGACAAATCTGTCACACAATATAAAACATTTAACAGGAAATTTTAGGCCATCTTCTCATCCATCACAGGGTTGATAACACACTGGCCCATTGCCTTCCTGACCACTGAGAATAATGAATCCTGGTTGGCAGCATTCGTCTCACGGCAGCTCATGCGTTCAAATGCTTTTCAGAAACACCTTGCGAGCTCTGCTGACTTCGTCATTGTGTGATCGACTCCATCAAGTGTGCGCTGTCTCTCTCTCTCTCTCTCTCTCTCTCTCTTTCGCTCTCTTCTCTCTCGCTCTCTTCTCTCTCCCTCTCGTCTCTCTCCCTCTCGTCTCTCTCTCTCTCTCTCTCCTCTCTCTCTCTCTCTCTCTCTCTCTCTCTCTCTCTCTCTCTCTCTCTCTCTCTTCTCTCTTCTCTCTCCTCTCGTCTCTCTCCCTCTCTCTCTCTCTCTCTCTCTTCTCTCTTCTCTCTCCCTCTCTCTCTCTCTCTCTCTCTCTCTCTCTTCTCTCTTCTCTCTCCTCTCTCTCTCTCTCTCTCTCTCCCTCTCTCTCTCTCTCTCCCTCCCTCTTCATCTTCTTTTCCTATTTAATGTGTGTGTTTCATCATTGTGTGCTCGACTCCATCAAGTGTGTGGGCTGTCCCTCTCTTTCTCTCTCTCTCTCTCTCCCTCCCTCTCTGTCTCTCCCTCCCTCTTTCTGGCTCTCTCTCTCTCTCTCTGTCTCTGTCTGTCTCCCTCTCTCTTTCGGTCTCTCTCTTCTGTCTCTTTATCTCTCTCCCTCTTTCCCTCCCTCTCTCTCTCTCTTCTCTCTCCCTGCCTCTCTTTCTCTCTCTCTTTCTCTCTCTCTCCCTCTCTCTCTTTCTCTCCGTCTCTCTCTCTCTCCCTATCCGTTAATGTGTGTGTTTGGGGCTGAATAATGAGGCTTGTAGGGGCCAGCTGCTCGGGGCTGTGGTTTGGGCATTAACCGGACAGATGGAGGCGGCCTGGGCTCCCTCGCTGCATATGGAGGCCAGGAGGAGAGCACCCACCCTCACACACCCACCACCCACACGCACACACTCACCACCCAACACCGCTCTCCTACCGGGCACTTTTTATCTGTCGCCAAAGTCCTGCTTGTTCCGTCTGCTTTGAATGCACAAACTCTGACATGATCTTGAGTCCAAGTGTATTAGGCAGGGAGGCTGCAGGTTGTTGGAGTAATAGGCCACATGCTCTGTCACCTCCTATTGATCTTTACCCCTCCCCCATGGTGCAATAAGGACGGGCAGAAGGCAATGGCAAATACAGCTTTGATTTTTAACTGTCCACATGCATCCCAGGGTTTTTCCAGTAGACCACACAGTTAGAGACTGTACTTCAGCCCTTTTTATTAGCAGAATGTTTGGCTCTATATCATCGCTGTAATTCCCTAAAACAAAATAATATCACAACCATATCAGGTTGTCTTAGCATTCTTTACTTTCTTGTTTTTAGCAAAGCCACCTACACTAATAATGTTGTTTTTGTTAGATATATAGTGATATACTTTGAGGGAAAATATTTATCAATTGCAAATTCTATGGCTCTTGAATAAGGACCATTTGATTGCTGCTTTTCTTATATGGTATTCAAAATTTTAAATAAGTAGTGTTATGCAAAATTGACGTTTTAAAGTAATTTAGTGATCTCTCCTGAGACTCTTTTGAACCCTCCTTATGGTTAGCTGTAAGATTCTGTCCAAGGCTCAACTCACAAGACTACATCATCCATGCTCCCACACATCAATTCTCCAAAAATATACACAAGCGTGATACAAAACATACAACTACAGCAAAACTGATGTGATGCACAGTAGTTACTGTTTAAGTAACTGTGAAAGTCTTATAAAAGTAACATAGACATATTGTTTAAATTACAAAAAAAAAAGCAATACAAATAACTCGCTTAGTCAGACATAGAGAACATACGAATGCCTTTCTATGAATTACTTTTTTTGCCAAATTTGCCATGATTTAAAAAAAGTCTAACACCGCAGAAGCCTTTAAAAAAAGAGTATAAAGCGTTAGTTTTTGAAAGATATAGAGCTCTGGAGTGAAGGAATTATGCATTCAATTTTGTTTGTTCTAATTTATATTTTGTCTCTTATATATACAATAAGTCCTAAGTGAAATTGTAAATGCAAACTTGCTGTTCATACGTTACTTTCTTTCTTTTTCTGTCATCGTTTAATAGGGTTTGGCATTATGAGTACTTTTTACTTCTGCCTAAACCCTTTCATTCATGATCCATGTTTTGTTTTAACTAAATAAAAAAAAAAACTACTACTACTAGCTTCATTATCAGAACACATGATTGTAATATGATAGTGCTCTGAAAGAGGAGTGACTTAGCAAGGAGAGCAGGAAGGTGTGGACAGATTTTTAACACCAAAAAGGGTAAATCTAAATATGTTATGAGTCAGAAATGAATAACCAACCAAATTAAAATACTCCCGCTTTAAATAAAGACTTCTGTTTTGAGAGGGTATTCGAGACATATCATCAGCTCCCTGTGAATATGATACCCAAAAATTGATCGATGCTTCGGTGTGGTGCCTGTGCGAATAATAATAACCCTCCCAACAGTAACGTGCCAAAAGCCTGCTGACTATTGATGTGTGGTTGTCAGGACTCTGCCCACAGCTTACACAGAAATGGCTTCCCCAGCTCCCAGCTTCAATCAATGGCATCTGTCACACCATTAGTCTTCAACGCTCTCCCTGACCTTCACATGCCCTTGTTTCGGAAATAGTTTTGATATGAGGAATACATAGACATAGACACAGACATATTGACACAAGAAATTGAAAAATAAGTAGAGGACACTTCTCCAGTATGGATTGCTAGAATTGTATGAGTTGTGGCCATATAGGTGGAATAAAGCTTTCCTCATACTATTTAGATATAAGATAGATAGACAGATACATCAGTTAGCTGATATATTGGGATGATATTTTTTTTGGGTGATTTGCTGTCTAAAAAATACACACAGCTTTATTTTAACACTTAGGGCAAGATATGATATAGTTTATGCTTTAAAAAAAAAAGATGGCTGTGGGTGAGTTTGTACTAAATTTAGATTACTGTATTTTTCAGACTATAAGGCGCACCGGATTATAAGGTGCATTAAGTGAAACAAACGGACGACACTTGAGACTGATTCCTTAGCCCAGACATCCACAATCCATTGGCAGATCATGGCGTAAGTCGCCCGGCGTTGCCTCCCCATTTTGGTGAATGTGTATTATGAATGTGAATGTAGGTGTTGTTTTTTTTATTTCCTACAAGGAGGACTGAAATATACATTGAGTAATAATGTGTTTAATGTAGCTTTGCGCACATTTGTTTATGTTTTACAGAAGCAAAACTTAAAACCACATGCTTAATTTGCATAAACTATAAGATATATATATAAAAAAAAAAAAGACTATTAAAAAAACTGCTTGCTCCTTGTGCGCTGGTGCGGTTAGCTTCTGTTGGACTAAAAGACACGACTTACTCTACGACACTCCTGACTACAATAGCCGTAATACTCTGACAGTCCATCAAGCAGTGCAGCTTCGTAAAATAAAATAAAATTTGTTCGAGGTCAATAAGCACAACCAGAATTAATACACAAGGCTCACTGGATTATAAGGTGCATTGTCAATTTTTGAGAAAATTTAAGGATTTTAAGAAAATAAAATCTTAAAATAATCAAAACTGGCCCTAAATATTGGCCTCAAAATATCGGCAGAGCTTATTGGCCATCGGTTTCTCTGGATTCTAAACAATTTGTATCTCCATAGGCCATGAAATAAGATATTATCAGCAAGTTAAACAAAAACAACTGGACTTACTTAGCTTTTTATTTTAAGCCAGCATTTCGCTGCCAAACATCTTCATCAGGGCTTGTGATTGCAACAAAGTATAAAGTTAAGTCACATATTGTTTGCGTATTGTATGAGAATATATATACAATATTTTAACTTGATGAAATGATTCTAACTTTATGAAGACGCATGATTGTGGATAGAATAAAGATAGATAAAAAGATTTCCTGACATCACTGGCTGTGTTAATAATGCATGTCTTGTCACTGGGGGACAGATGCAAAGGCAGGGTTGGATTGCTGTATTGGGAAATTGATTAGTGTGAGTATCTATTCATTTGTATGTTTGGTCTCATATGACTGCCTGTAAATCAGTATCTGGATAAAATAGGCTCAGCAGCCTGTGATAGGGACGATGTGTGAATAAGGAGTGATGTTGTATACTGTTGTATATCTGTGCCTCCTCTTGTATATATATATGTATATATGTGTTTGCTATTGTGTTGTAGCATTTTTAATACATGTTTCCAGTGCTTTTATATTTGTACTGGCACATTTGACTTCAGCCATTACCTCATTATATCTAAGTAAGCATCATATTCCATACTTATTTCTATGAGATATACTGTAGACAAATGTGTCTCTATCTAGGCATGTTATGATAAAAAATTTGAAGCCTGATATATGACAATACTGACACTACTTTATGCTGCTAAAAGGGTATAATTTTGATTGTACTCATGTCATGAATTGTATTTCTTTATATTTTCTCAGGACAGTGACTTGCTGACATTCAACATCTCAGCTCATCATTCGTGGTGGAGTGAGCACGGTCCGGGCTGTGTGAGGAGAGAGCTGCAGCTGACTCCAGACGACCGCACCACACCCGAGGCCCAGTCCTACATCAGCGTCATGGGCTGTTTTGTGGACTACCAGTATATCGAAGTACTACACAGCAGTATGCAGATACTTGTAGCAGTAAGTACATTTAAAAGATCATGTATTATGTCGGATGTACATAACAAAATGTAATCCACTGAAGTTGTCAGATCACCCATAAGTTAATTTTGTTTTAAAAAATTTAACATTTAAAGGTGCACCATGTACCGTGTTTGTGGGAATGTTATTGTTGTCTAGAATGTTCCATAGTATAGATTAAACTTATATATAAGCACTACGCTACATTACAATTCAGATCTGTGAAGAGCAGCCCCTATTCACAGAAGGAATTATGCTATTTTACAATAGAAATGAAATAAATGCTACATTTACATACATATATTTAAAGTCAGACCATGGAAACTCCATGGAGACAAGCATTCTGCAAGATTTGTGGTGGATGGTGCACCACGACCATCCACCACAAATCTTGCACAGTGCACCTTTAAATAATTGGCACAGTTAGTACATCTCACCTTTATTGTGACATCTTTTAGCAAGAGACAAGATACAGTAGATTTTTTTATTAACACTAATTTGATTTTGATGACTCAGTGTGAGTTTCATTGTAACAACACCTGACACAGCATCAATCAAATTAATTCAGATTTATATGAAATACAAGTGTGAACAGGCCACTGACTGAATCTCAGCTTGTCCAGCCTCCATTGAACATGGCATTACGAGGGATTGGCAGAAAGCTGTTGATTTTATTTTGCCTTGAAGCACTTTTCCCAATATACTGGCACAGTGGTGTGTTATTATACGCGTATCCAGCCCGCCCGCCTCTGCTGCTCGCTGAATGAAACATTGATCGGCTGTTTTGTCTGGGAGAGTGGCTCAGACTTGCCAGCTGCTAACAGGTTCCTCTGACACTGGAAGGCCCTTATTGTCTTGCTCGGTTTGAAAAGCCAAAGTAGACATCCTGCCGACATGAGCGCTCACACACATGGCTGCTCCTCTGGCTGACCTCCTGTTGAACATGGGCCAAGCTTGTTCAGATCACAGCATTAGAAACACTCAATTGGCTTACAGATTTTTTTCTATATTTAATTCTAAATCACTCACAAATATTTTCACATACAATAGAAGCAAGGTTATAAATTCAACCACATATGGAATGGAGGCATTACTCCCTTGTCTGCCATTCTGTACAGTCCCTCTAATCACCTCCAAACCATGAATGTCACAGTTTGAGCATAGCAGGAATTGAACCAGCAACCTACGGGCTCCTTTGAATTCTGAGCCCCATTTAATAATATCCAATGAGTGTAGGCTTTTCTTCTTTGGCCCAAGTCAACATGCTGAGTGTGCATTTAAAAGATGTCGGATCGGTAAACAAGCAGTGTGACTTATGGACACCCACTGGACTGTGTTGTTCCCATGACCCCACAGAGAATGGCAATAAAACGGTTCATGTCATTTTACAACCCCATCATTCCTCACTCTGCTAATGCATCTCCACTAACAAATTATTTGGCACCTGAGTCAGCAATAAAGGATTTCTTTTTGCATATTTTAATTCCTGTTCTGCTCAAAAGCACTTTAATTTCATCTTAGCTTGCTGTCATGTAAACAAAGTGAGAAAAAGTCCTTTTATTAATTGATCACACATTTTGATTTGATTTGATTTTGGTCCTATGAAAAATAAATATAATGTCTATATAGGCCCTATATTAAGCAAAATAGACTCTTGGAAGCTTTAAGCCATGTTATAATGTTATAATGTTCTTCTCCTCAAAAACATACCCAGATTTGTGTTTTGTTTGAGTATTCCTTTGTTATTGTGTTGCCAAAGCTCAAAACCATTCCACCTTGTGATGTCAGGAAGCAGGATTTTTTAAGTTAACAGCTATCTTTTCCCTTTTGTTTACTGAAGATTTGGAAATTCTATTGTGGAAATGATTAAAATTATATGTGTTTGAGAGAAATACTCAGCCTAAATATGCAGGGTTTTTGTGTTACACATGTGTGAATGAAATAAAACACACCAGGTATGTTTTTGTTGAGGACAGAACATTATAGCATAGATCAGAAAATAGCATAACATGGCCCTTTAACTATTAAGATTTCTAATTGTTGCCATTTTTAGAACAAAAACATTTCAAATTGCCCACACATATCGATTAATTGCACAGCACTAAAACTCCATTGTATAGGATTTGTATAGGAATAGACCTTGATGGAGAATGTATCATCAAAGAATGAAAAGAATTATAATCAGGTGGCACATCCTTTGTCTTTGTAAAACGGGTTTTCAAGGTCACAGCAAGAGGCTATTAAATATTTAGTCTGAGCTCAGAGGACTATGTTTCATTAAGATGAAAAATGTGGATCAGTTTGCCCGTAATGGAGGCATCACTGACATCTGTCGGCTGCCATTCATCACTGACCAGGGGAGCCTATGCAAGAAAAGCACCGTGATCACAGGCTATTGTTTATGGACCAAATAGGTTATATTGCAACTGAGAGGTAACATTGGGCATAAGATTGTTCTGTTTCATTCATTTATCTCTGAAGGAGGTTGTTTAATTTAAAGGTTCTGTATAATATAAAATGGATTGTTGTGAGCTTCAAGCCTTGTTATAATGATACAATGTCAAAAACAGACCTGGAGTTGTGTTTCGTTTCTTTCACACATGCTTGAGTAATTCTTTATTGTTAGTCTGTCTACATCTCTGAAGCTCAAAATGCTCTATTGCACCTTGTGATGTCATGTAGTGGTAGTTTTCAAGTTAACAGCTCCTTTTACCTTTTGTTCAGTAGAGATTGGCAAGTCTAGGGCTGAAATCATCCAAAAGATTCTTGCTATGGTGTATGGGATTTAAAAACACAATGGAGCACTTCCTGTATTACCACATGACATCACAAGGTGGAACAGAGTGGTTTCCATCTGAGAAAAAAAGAGTTTGTGTGTTAAACAAATGTGAATGAAGGAATAACAGTATAACATACATCTGAAAATAGCATTATATGAGTCCTTTAATGGTTTAATTTGTCATTGCTGTCAACCTTACGGTTGTAAATGACCACTCTTTGCCAGAGTGCCTATGCTACTACCGCTGTCTCCCCACACCTATATTACTGCTCCCAATATTACTATGACAAAAAGTGCTATAAGGCTGCAAGATCAATTGTAATAAAATTAAATCAGAATTTGAATGGGTGCAATTAGAGAAACGCAAAGGCAATTTTTGAAGCACATAATTTCCACAAACAAGAAAATATCCTGTCTTTTTCTGCATAAGAAATGTCAACCCTGTAGTTTCGATTGCACAAACACACTTTGAATTACATGTGATTCTTTAAGTTTGTCAGTTCATATTTAATTTATTTTTTTGTCAATTCTCCTGGGCGTGGGTGAACAGAATCCTATTATTAAAACATAAAATGCAAATCTAATTTCAGTGAATTTGAATTATTATGGCTACATTTAGTAATTTCTCTGCTTTTATCACAACAATAACTACTACTACTACTACTGCTACTACGATACTTACTTGTTATTACATTTACCAGTACTACTTGCTCTAAACTTGTTCTGATGCGTTAACAAAAACAGATTTTCTATCCCATGTTGTAAGCTACTTTATTCTTGACACTGCATAAAGTCTCAATTTCCAATGTCTTCCTAACACTTTCACTGTTAACTACAGCAACTGTGTGTGAAAAACAACTCAACTGAGACACAGAATAACAGAAAAACAGAAAACAGCAGCGTCAACACATGGGGTGGTGAACATGTTTCTGACAATTGTTTTGACATGAGCCCGTCTTTTAAATGTGTGTTTTTCCAGTATTGGGTTTTTGCCCTGGAAGTGTGCATGAAGAGGATTGTAGAGGTGATAATCTGCAAAATGCTCTTGTATTTCTCTAGTACAACTGCACACTTCCTCTTGTTTTTGTCCCTTGTCATAATATCACTGTTAACTCCAGGGCACTCTTCCTGTCTGTCTTCCTGTGACATTGTTTGACTTTCACTTTTATGAAAAAAATGGTTGAATACACAATGAAAGTAAAAGTTTAATGTCAATGCAAAAGTAGTGATGATGACCAAACAAAAATGTAAATGTTCTAACCATCATCATTATTTCTGTGGCCAATTTGTTTTCCAGATACAAAAATTGATTTGAAATGATCAGCAGTATATAATCTGTACATAATGAATACACAGTGGCAGATCCAACAGAAAACATTTAGCCTGTTTAGCTAAATTACTTTCTAAAAATGTTGCACTCTGGTTTTAATAAGCTACCTTACTGTATGTAATATGTGTATTCTGTTTTTATTTTAGGTACCAAAGGCATACTTATGTAGCGCTGCAGTGGGAGTGGGAGGGGCTCAGGTTGATTAAAGGGGCTCCCGCTGCTTGGACAAACCAGTGATTAGCTGTGAGGGTGAGCCGTAGCCACAGGGTCAGGCATCTGTGTGTGTGTGTGTGTGTGTGTGTGTGTGCGTTTGTGTGTGTGTGTGCACGCCTGTGTGTGTGTTTATGGACCCCCACATTCCCCTTTTCTCTGAGGTCAGGGAGGTCTTTGATAGCTCAATTAGCCCATGCGGTGATTGCATTCTGATGTTTATTAGCCACACATCAATACGTGGGGATATTGGGGTTAAGGTGATGTGGGTTCAGCTTCCCTAATGAAGTGGGGTCATTGTAATTTAAAGCGTGTTCTGTATTAGATTCAAGGATTTTAATCAACTGTGACCAATAACTGCATTTAATAAAGTAAAGAATTCATTCATACAACAAAAGCATAATTACAATTAAGACAAACTCTTTAGGATATATTCTAATCAGGTTACAAGGATCACAAGCCAGTTCTCTACAGACCCAGGCCTGGAGAAATGGAGATGATTGTATAGGCACTGAAGTTGATAGATTTTTCATCCAGAGGTTGGTGGTGCAATTTCAGCTCTCAAAGATGAATACTGATGTTGTGCCCTTGTGCCCCCTTGTTTCTGCATATATGTTGTACGAATGTGTGTGAATGGGTGGGTGGTTCTTTGACGGAAAATGCAGTATAAAGATGTGACCA